CCAAAAAAGACAAGAAATATTTAGTCTAATAGTTGCTATAGGTAATCTAATAAGTATATTAATCTTTACCACTTATCTGCCGGACCAATTAAGTAAAGATATTCCCCGGGGACCTTTTTGGTGAATTTATTCGGTGGTTTGGCATTATATTGCTTTTCCGCTATCTCTGTTTTACTTTTGTAAATTTGTTAAAATGAATGAGAAAATTGTTTATCGCCGGAAAATTTTTTGATTGTTATCCGCACAACCTTTTATTTTTTTGCTAACGAACTTATTTAGGGCCCGAACCGCTGGACAAACTTATTTAACTGAAAAGGGATGAAAGAAATTTATGGTGCCCTATTTTGAGTGAATAGAGCAAGGAAAATTGCTCAATTTTTTTATTTTCTTTTTCGTGGGAGTTTCGGCGGCTTGGTTACTTTTGTTTTGGTTAATAAAGGTAAAAAAAAAATATTTCCCACAAACAATTGCTAAGTTAACCATAAGGGAAAGTAAAGAGAGAGAGAGAGAGAGAGAGAGAGAGAGAGAGAGAGAGAGAGAGAGAGAGCAAAATAGGTAATTTACAATAAATACTGGCTTATTTTCGCGAAACGAAAGGATTATCTTTAAGGTAAAACCTTCATAAGCGGTCTTTGTCGGCTCCGGCATAGTCAATATTAACTCTTTTAGTAGCGACAATTTTTTCTTGGTTAATTTCTGGTTGGTCTTCTAAATAAATTAAATCACTAGTGGTTAAATCAGTATGATTAAGACTTATATCGATATTAAGTGCTCGGCATAATTTTCCTGGACCATTAGTATAGTAGTGATATTTTTTTCTTTCATCCTGAAGCGAACTAACCGGAACCGTATGGTGGTCAAGTGGTTCCGCGGCCCGAATTAATACTCCTTGGGGGTCTCCTTTTGCGGAGGAAGCAATATTAAAACAATAATACATGCCATAAATGAGGTAGACATAGGCACAACCTCCTCGATTTGCTAAAGCCGAGGCTTTTCAATTTGACTTGTTTTCCTGGTGTGCATGGCAAGCCCGGTCAATTTTGCCATTATAGGCTTCGGTTTCCACAATTTTAACTTTAATAATTCGGTCATTAATTTTTCGAACTAATACTTTGCCTAATAACTTTTGGGCTAATTCTACTGCGTCAATAGTGAAAAAACCAGGGTCGGTAATGCGTAAAAGTTTATTTTCTTTATTCATCTCTTTTAGTTACTTATAACTTTAACTTATGACTTCTTCCATCACCGGAGAAATTTTTTTAAGCAATGAGCCCGGGGACTAATTTGGTTTTTTGCTTCTAGAGGAAGTTGGGCAAAGGTTTTTTTTAAACTAGGGAAATAAAAAATTGGGTCATAGCCAAAACCATGCTTACCGATAATTCGCGAGGAAACTTGGCCCTTTACTGAACTTAGAAA